TTGTGTTAATGAACAAAGTCATTCATTCAGGTTTTTGTTGGAATTGTGAGACATTTACAGAAACTTATCGTATACTGGAAAATTCAATTAATATTGGGCATTGTGTTTTATATGAAATCAATTCTATTCAATGTCCATTATTAGTAACATCATGAAATTATCACATTCTTTACGCAATGACTCATTCTTGTAAATCATTCGGCTGTTTTATTTTTCAAAACTCAGTTATAAAGATAAAAAAGATAAATTATCAAATAAAGTAGACCTATTATGGTTTCCAGAATTCACGTTCGCTTCTACTGTATTTTACTTGATCAGTTTGGTATTTCTAGGAGTGATATTTGCAGTTTAATGTTAAGGGCTACGTATGGACTTTCCATATCAAATATCTTGTATATATTTAAGCATGTATGTAAAGTTAAGTAAATTTCCTACTCAACGAGTGTCTCCAAGATTACTTAACCTGGCTGGACTGAGGACATAGTCGTCGATGCAGTATTAAAAGTGATTTGCATTCCGTCCTTCTTTGTGATAGACCACATTATTCTAAATAGTATGATGTGTTTTATTACGACCTATTGCGTTTTGTGATGTTAATAAACGCCGATATTAATTCACGTATGAAGTATGTTTAAAATTATAATTAAAACAACTGTAAATTACATAATGTTTCTAAGAGAATTTAAGCTTGTTGGACTGAGGACATGGTTGTCGGTGTAGTATTAAAAGTATTCAAAATACTTCATCGCAGTTATAAAGGCAAATTAAGATAAATGATCAAATAAAGTAGACCTATTATGGTTTTCAGAATTTACATGCAGGTGCCTACTTGTAAATCCTCCATAAAAGGGTATATACAGACCAACTAAGGAACTTTCATCCTTCAAAACATCAAGATATAAAGACATCGCCAAAAAGATCAGTAATTAAAAACAATAGGCCTATCATGATTTCCAGAAAAGCGAGTAGACCTACCGAAACGAAAAGCATTTGTACCACTTTCCTCATGTGACGTAACATGTCAAGATAAGGAAGGAAGTACATACATCCTTTCAGGAACGTTTGATATCCTGTAGAAGAAGCTGTTTCAGTCACCGGATGGGGCGCCTGTCACACAAGCGAAGGGACTCGAATGAAAGAGGTATTATGGTTTAGAAGATTAAGTAGAAAAATGATAAGCACACGTAGTGTCGTCGTTAGGAGTGGGTGTAAGATTTCTTTGACTTTGCCCCCCCCAAAAAAAAAAAGGAAGGAAAAAATGAATATGACAATGAACAAATAAATGAAAACTAGAATAAAGTAGAAATCAATTCATTGATGTTAAAGGTTTAAAAATGTGACTATTAATTGCCAGCGTGCTTGGTACCTTTTTGTAAAACAGCGTCACAATCTATCTCATTTTTTATTTTATATTTATCTACTCCAAAATAACATTTTGACGGCTTCTTTGGCAGGGAATTTCTACGCATCGTTTTCAGCGGTTACTATGACTAACATTTGTAAACACAATATTCCTTTTACCATTCCCAAATGGGAAAGGATAGATCAGCAGCAACTCGAGGTGTCGTTGCGCATGCGAACATCAACTACAGTTGTGTTTACGATGGGCTAATTTTAGAGTTGCTCATGTTCATTTTGTACAATATCCATTATGAAAGTTTCAATGGCTTTTCAGGCATTTTTGGACTTCATAAAGGCCTGTTGGCCAGGTATCCTACACATCAAATAGAATACCTTTCTTTCATTCAATGAGTGCATGGAGGTATTAATAAAAGTGGGTATACTTAATTTCTTCAAGCTGAGTAAAATAATACAGGCCTTTGGCTTGACTCCCACTGCGAGCAATTCCACTTGAGAATCATGCATAAACATAATCGCCCACTCTTCTCATCCACAGGTCTTTTTGATGATTGTTCAATGAAAACCAATAAAATAATTATTTTCCATCCTTTTTGAAAATTGAAATGACCAAAATGATCGACCATATTCACAAAGTATCCATAACCAAAAAAATTGCATTCTCTGTGTTTTGCTTATAGCCTTTTCTCCTCTATCCTGGCTGAAATGAGTTTGCTCCTGACCTTATCCGTAGCCTTTTTGTTCCGAATTTGACTTTAAGCTCGTCACCCGCTGGTCACGTGATCGAGCGGAACTAGAAAAAAAAAATATTCGGATTTTCTTTTGGCCCAGTTATCTTCTGTCAGGAAGTGATGATTAATTAACGAGAACATATTCGGATTTTCTCTTGGCCCAGTTATCTTCTGTCAGGAAGTGATGATTAATTGACGAAAATGGTAAAAATGTCGGGTATATCTAAATATTTGTTTAGTAGTTGATAAAAGGAAATCAGCTGGTACAGGAAAGAAAAGTTTATATAGCGCAATGTTTTCTAAACGTAAGTCCTGGCAAAGATGGGGACTAGCAGTGACGTCTTTATGGGACTCAACTTGGGGCAACACTTCCGGTGTAATCTGTATATATATCCTTGTGTTAAACACTAGCAGTTATCAGTTTCTGCTTAGTAGGGCTCCTGAAGGTTGTGGAAAACAAGACTTTGTCGGAAAGAAAAGAAAAATCATATCAAAATGTCGAGCCAAAGGAAGTTCTTCGTGATCGGGAACTGGAAGATGAACGTGGACAAAGCCCGGATCGACAACATCGTCAAGTTCATGTCGGCGGCCTCGTTGGACCCCAACACAGGTCAGTTCCACACATTTGCTTCGGTTCGGGTTAGGAATGAATGAAAGGCAATGTAGAAATACTTTCAATTCAATGATTTGCAATGCCCAAAAGCGAGATATTAATTCTTGTCCCAAACAGAGGCCGTGGTTGGCTGCCCTTCCTGCTACCTGTCCTACGCCCGCCAGAGACTCCCTGACGAGATCGCTGTCGCCGCTCAGAACTGTTACAAGGTAAGCTGCTCTTTTCCCACATGGAACAGAAAAGACGATTACACGAATGTCTTGTCTAGTCTGAGGAACATAACTTATATTGTGAAATGTCATATGACAAAAATCTTATTCTATCATCACTTGTGAACAGGTTGCCCACGGTAACTTCAGTGGCGAGATTTCTCCCGCCATGATCCTGGACTCGGGCTGCGAGTGGGTCATCCTGGGTCACCCTGAGCGAAGGACCATCTTCAAGGAGTCAGACCAACTCATCGCCGAGAAGGTCGCGCACGCGCAGCAGACTGGCATCAAGGTCAGCCTTTTCTTCTTTTTTTATCTAAGAGGAGAATGTTTTAAAAGGACTCGAATGGGATAGACATGGAAATTTGTTTTTCTAGATATGCATGAATTATTTAATTGATCTTAATGTGCAATTGCAGATAATCGCGTGTCTGTGCGAGACGTCGGAGGACCGCGAGGAGGGTCGCACGGACGACGTCCTGTTCGGCCAGATGAAGTCCCTCGCCGCCAGCATCAGCGACTGGTCGCGTGTGGTGATCGCCTTCGAGGCTCTGTGGGCCAGCAATACCGGCGTCCTGGCCACAGCTGCGCAGGTACAGGAGGCCTTGGCCAAGCTGCGACACTGGCTGCGCGCCAACGTGAGCGACAAGGTGGCCAACAGCACCAGAATCCTGTACGCAGGTTCCGTTTCGTCGAGCAACTGTCGAGAGCTGGCTCAGCTGGAGGACCTGGACGGCTTCCTGGTGGGGAGCGCGGCCCTCAGACCCGACATCGTCGACATCATCAACGCCGACGACCCGACGTGTCCAGCCTCATTGCGCACTTCGACCGACCCGACGGCCGACGCGCCTGACGCGGGCGCAGTGCGCTCTTTTTGCCCGCTGGGTTTTGTACAGATATTTATGGACGAATGTAATATGGGCGTTATCATCCTATGTATTTCTCATGTATTTTTGTTATTCACCCTTTTAACCGCTAAGGATTTTATTTTATTTTACTTTAATGTGCTCTCTTTCAAATAAAGTATTTTGAGATATACACGGTCCTTTTTATTTTCTAAAACCTGTGTGAAGGAGCCCATACACGTAAATGTATACATATACATATGTATATATACATACATACACACACACACACACACACACACACACACACACACACACACACACACACACACATATATATATATATATATATATATATATATATATATATATATATATATATATATATATATAATATATGTGTGTGTGTGTGTAAACAAACACATGTATCCACACTTATATATGTATATATATATATATATATATATATATATATATATATATATATATATATATATATATATATATATATATATATATATATGTATGTATACGTGTGTGTTGCCTTTGTGGGTTATTGATTGACCTTTAGTAAACAATGGATATTTTCCTTTGAGTAGACAAAATAATGGAAAGATTATAGTCACTATTTTTTTTTTTTTTGATGCTCACATATTTTACCGCTAAGTGGGATAGACGGCATTAGATATATGGAAAGAATTATCATTATTAATCTATTACAGACCAGGATCTCCTTACAAGATGGAATTAAGGAGTTACTAAGCTTGGTTATTGAGAAACATTACAGGGAGGTAAAAGCTCAATCATAAAGAAGAGCAAGATGCACTGCACGAGTATGTACGAAATGGAAATTGATGAACAAATGGAAAATGAAATAGTATACGAAAACACAAAGAGGTATTTTAAAAGTATTTTTCATTGTTCTAGTTATTTGTTGTATTGCTATTTTTTTTTTTTTAATGTGATCTGAATTATTTGTGATTTTTTGGTCAAGAAACATAGATTGTAAATGGATTCGCGTTTTCTTTCACGAACTGAGAGTTACGTTGATCCCTTGTTATAGATTCTGATCCCAAGTTGATGATTGATGTCTCTTCATTTATTTCATCGTGTTGTTGCATCTAAAACCGGTCAGTCGAGTTGACGTGTTGTCAATCAAATTACTTTTTTTTTTTAATCCACAAAACCTAAATTCCCTAAACCGGGGAAGGCAAACTCAAAACCCTTCGAGGGCCAATTTTCCCCTTCAGCTGCCATCTTGAGGGCCAATAAACGTTCATACTTGGCTTCCAAGGATTACGTTACTAAAACTACTATTATATACGTAAAGTTTAGTTTATTCTACTCAGATTGTATATGACGTTATTTTCCTTCATGACAATCATAATTTCACAGGCTAATACTCTTGTCACCGCGGGCCACGCAAGGTCATCCCAGGGGACACAAACAGCCCGCGGACCATGAGTACGACACTCCTGGGATATTTCATTCATTACAAAAACATAATAATAAAATATTAGTGATAATCTTAAAGGACGAAGGACTGGTTTAATCGTGTAAAACAGCTGACCGTAAGACAAATAGCAAGTGTATCCCGGGCCATAGGAGTGTGCTTGATGTTTCTGCCTGAAAGGATGTTTCTGGAAGGGATAAACGCCTTGCCAGATGCCACACCTGCCCGAAGTGGAACGACTGACACGCCTCTCGGAAATCCAGTCTTCAAACCGGATGACGTCACGGAAACCGAGTCACCAGATCCAATTCATTCACGAAGGAACACAAACCGATGAACGTGACTCATGAGGCGTGAAAATAGATTAGGAAAAAGTAGTCTTTTACCTACTGGCGTTAAAGAAGTTTTCTGCCTGTCACTTCCTTCGATCTCGGCGAGGACTGAGAACCGCTCAGCCACGTGCGAGGAAAATGGCGCAGGTCGGCGTGTCACGAGAACGAAAATAGGTCAGAAATGGAGCAAGGTGAGTCGAACCGCGCCTGTTTGGTGAGGGTTTCCGACTTGTGGGAAATTCAGTGCAGAGTAGTTTTAAATATACATTTGTCTGAGTGAATTTGATTGTGTGAGTGGATACACATTTATCATAATTATATGAATATATGCATACACATAATCACACACACTTGCATATACATATATAAATAGATAAACATACAGATATAGGCAGATAGATATAGAAAATAATGTAGATAGATAGATACATAGAGATATATGTATGTGTATAGTATGTATATAGTATTGTATCACCAATTAATATTAGCATCTTTCATTATCTCAGAACCATTATCATGGTACCCACACCCATAGTCGGTTTATTTGTCCATATTGTATAATTGATTACATACCTGACATTGCATAAGTAGAGTGTGCGCGTCGATATAATGGTCTTGATATGAAGTAATTGTATTCCGATTTTGCTCAGTAATGCACGTTTGCTGGGGCATTTCTCGGACCACTCACACTTGGTTATTTAATTTTTTTTTTCTCTCTCTCTCTGTGCCTCTCTTTTCTTGTGTCTTCATTTTCGTCTCTCTCTCTTCTCTCTCTTTCTCACACTCTTCTCATTCCTCTTTTTCTCCTTTCTTTTTCTCTCTCTCTGTTTACAAAACTGCCACAAAGTAAATAAACGAAATATAAACCCACGAAGAACCCGTGACGTATGACGCAGAGAGTCAGAGATCGAAAGCAAACACAATGACGTCACAACGAACGTTTTTGATTTCCTGCAGAACCTGTTTATAAGCCAATCGTCGTCGCTTTGGTCGCCAGTGGTCATCTAACGCTCTCTGGAAGGAGAAGTAACCAAGAACAGAAGTAAACAAGAAGACAATCTTCAGAATGTCGAGCCAAAGGAAGTTCTTCGTGATCGGGAACTGGAAGATGAACGTGGACAAAGCCCGGATCGACAACATCGTCAAGTTCATGTCGGCGGCCTCGTTGGACCCCAACACAGGTCAGTTCCACACATCTACTTCAGTTCGTGTTAGGCTGAAGTGAGTAGGTTGAAGGATAATTCAGTTCAGTGATTATGCAATGTCCAAAAGCGAGATATTAATTTCTTGTCCCAAACAGAGGCCGTGGTTGGCTGCCCTTCCTGCTACCTGTCCTACGCCCGCCAGAGACTCCCTGACGAGATCGCTGTCGCCGCTCAGAACTGTTACAAGGTAAGCTGCTCTTTCCATGGAACAGAAAAGACGATTACACGAATGTCTTGTCTAGTCTGAGGAACATAACTTATATTGTGAAATGTCATATGACAAAAATCTTATTCTATCATCACTTGTGAACAGGTTGCCCACGGTAACTTCAGCGGCGAGATTTCTCCCGCCATGATCCTGGACTCGGGCTGCGAGTGGGTCATCCTGGGTCACCCTGAGCGAAGGACCATCTTCAAGGAGTCAGACCAACTCATCGCCGAGAAGGTCGCGCACGCGCAGCAGACTGGCATCAAGGTCAGCCTTTTTTTCTAGGGAGAAATTTTAAAAGGACTCGAATGGGATACATGGAATTTGTTTTCTAGATATGCATGAATTATTTAATTCATCTTAATGTGCAATTGCAGATAATCGCGTGTCTGTGCGAGACGTCGGAGGACCGCGAGGAGGGTCGCACGGACGACGTCCTGTTCGGCCAGATGAAGTCCCTCGCCGCCAGCATCAGCGACTGGTCGCGTGTGGTGATCGCCTTCGAGGCTCTGTGGGCCAGCAATACCGGCGTCCTGGCCACAGCTGCGCAGGTACAGGAGGCCTTGGCCAAGCTGCGACACTGGCTGCGCGCCAACGTGAGCGACAAGGTGGCCAACAGCACCAGAATCCTGTACGCAGGTTCCGTTTCGTCGAGCAACTGTCGAGAGCTGGCTCAGCTGGAGGACCTGGACGGCTTCCTGGTGGGGAGCGCGCCCTCAGACCCGACATCGTCGACATCATCAACGCCCGACGACCCGACGTGTCAGCCTCATTGCGCACTTCGACCGACCCGACGGCCGACGCGCCTGACGCGGGCGGCAGTGCGCTCTTTTTGCCCGCTGGGTTTTGTACAGATATTTATGGACGAATGTAAATATGGGCGTTATCATCCTATGTATTTCTCATGTATGTTTTGTTATTTCCTTTTAACCGCTAAGGATTTTTATTTTATTTTACTTTAATGTGCTCTCTTTCAAATAAAGTATTTTGAGATATACACGGTTTTATATTTTCTAAAACCTGTGTGAAGGAGCCCATACATGTAAATGTATACATATACATATATGTATATACATACATACATATAATATAATATATATATGTGTGTGTATAACAAACATATGTATCCAACTTATATATTTATATATATTATATATACGTATGTATACGTGTGTGTGCGTTGCCTTGTGGGGTTATTAATTGACCTTTAGTAAACAATGGATATTTTCCTTTGAGTAGAAAATAATGAAAGATATTCATTATTTTTTTTTTTGATGCTCACATATTTTACCGCTAAGTGGGATAGACGGCATTAGATATATGGAGAGAATTCATTATTAATCTATGCAGACCAGGATCTCCTTACAAGATGGAATTAAGGAGTTACTAAGCTTGGTTATTGTGAAACATTACAGGGAGGTAAAAGCTCAATCATAAAGAAGAGCAAGATGCACTGCACGAGTATGTACGAAATGGAAATTGATGAACAAATAGAAAATGAAAGTGTACGAAAACACAAAGAGGTATTTTAAAAGTATTTTCATTGTTCTAGTTATTTGTTGTTTTTTTTTTTTTTTTTATGTGATCTGAATTATTTGTGACTTTTTAGGCCAAGAAACATAGATTGCAAATGCATTCGCGTTTTCATTCGCGAACTGAGAGTTACGTTGATCCCTTGTTATAGATTCTGATCTCAAGTTGATGATTCACGTCTCTTCATTTATTTCATCGTGTGTTGCATCTAAAAACGGTCAATCGAGTTGACGTGTTGTCAATCAATTGAACTTTTTTTTTAATCCACAAAAAAATTCCTAAAACCGGGGAAGGCAATCAAAACCCTTCGAGGCCAATTTTTCCCTTCAGCTACCATCTTGAGGGCCAATAAACGTTCATACTTGGCTTCCAAGGATTACGTTACTAAAACTACTATTACATACTTAAAGTTTATTCTACTTCTCAGATTTCAAATGGTAATACCAACAGTAACAAATTGTATATGATTATTTTCCTTCATGACAATCATAATTTCACAGGCTAATACTCTTGTCACCGCGGGCCACGCAAGGTCATCCCAGGGGACACAAACAGCCCGCGGACCATGAGTACGACACTCCTGGGATATTTCATTCATTACAAAAACACAATAAAAGAGTATTTTGTGATAATCTTAGAGGACGAAGGACTGGCTTAATCGTGTAAAACAGCTGACTGTAAGACTGAAATAGCAAGTGTGTCCCGGGCCATAGGAGTGTGCTTGATGTTTCTGCCTGAAAGGATGTTTCTGGAAGGGATAAACGCCTTGCCAGATGCCACACCTGCCCGAAGTGGAACGACTGACACGCCTCTCGGAAATCCAGTCTTCAAACCGGATGACGTCACGGAAACCGAGTCACCAGATCCAATTCATTCACGAAGGAACACAAACCGATGAACGTGACTCATGAGGCGTGAAAATAGATTAGGAAAAACTAGTCTTTTACCTACTGGCGTTAAAGAAGTTTTCTGCCTGTCACTTCCTTCGATCTCGGCGAGGACTGAGAACGCTCAGCCACGAGCGAGGAAAATGGCGCGGTTGTCGGCGTGTCACGAGAACGAAAATAGGTCAGAAATGGAGCAAGGTGAGTCGAACCGCGCCCGTCCGGTGAGGGTTTCCGACTTGTGGGAAATTCAGTGCAGAGTAGTTTTAAATATACATTTGTCTGAGTGAGTCTGATTGTGTGAGGGATACACATTTATATACATAATTATATGAATATATGCATACACATAATCACACACACTTGCATATACATATATAAATAGATAAACATACAGATATAGGCAGATAGATATAGAAAATAATGTAGACAGATAGATACATAGAGATATATGTATGTGTATAGTATGTATATAGTATGTTTGTATAACCAATTACATATTATAAAGCATCTTTCATTATCTCAGAACCATTATCATGGTACCCACACCCATAGTCGGTTTATTTGTGCATATTGTATAATAGATTACATACCTGACATTGCATAAGTAGAGTGTGCGCGTCGATATAATGGTCTTGATATGAAGTAATTGTATTCCGATTTTGCTCAGTAATGCACGTTTGCTGGGGTATTTCTCGGACCACTCACACTTGGTTATTTAATTTTTTTTCTCTCTCTCTCTCTGTGCCTTCTCTTTTCTTGTGTCTTCATTTTCGTCTCTCTCTCTCTCTCTCTCCTTTCTCACACTCTCTCATTCCTCTTTTTCTCCTTTCTTTTTCTCTCTCTCTCTGTTTACAAACTGCCACAAAGTAAATAAACGACAAAATACAAACCCACGAAGAACCCGTGACGTATGACGCAGAGAGTCAGAGATCGGAAGCAAACACAATGACGTCACAACGAACGTTTTTGATTTCCTGCAGAACCTGTTTATAAGCCAATCGTCGTCGCTTTGGTCGCCAGTGGTCATCTAACGCTCTCTGGAAGGAGAAGTAACCAAGAACAGAAGTAAACAAGAAGACAATCTTCAGAATGTCGAGCCAAAGGAAGTTCTTCGTGATCGGGAACTGGAAGATGAACGTGGACAAAGCCCGGATCGACAACATCGTCAAGTT